TCTAAAAATATGAGACACTCTCTACTTAAGAGTCAATTATGTTAGTCCTTGTCTGAATGGAACCTTAATTTATTTATCTCCTAAAAAGGGACCCATGTTTAAGGAACACTGTAAAAGCTTAAAAAAGTAAGATAGGGATACATAACAAAAAATAAAAATACCTTTATTTGATACATATTTCCCCCCGATGGTTGCCGCGCCGCTTCAAGAAGACAGGGCTTTGGGAAAAAAGCATGCCACTGTACGATAAAAATGAATTCGAAAGAATCTTTTAAGTGAAATGAAAAGTAGAAAAAGATGTTTTAACAGCCAGGGACTGCCTTTGGTATTGGGAGGAACAGGATTCAATAAGAAAGAAAATTGGTCGCTTAACTGGACTCATACTGATAGGATTCAAAACAACATTTTGAAGTGAATAAAGAGAAAATTATATCATTTTCAGTTCTTGTGAGATCTGTGATGAATTGTAGAGAAGTGTGTCTGAGGACTTCGAAGCCTCAAATTGCTTAAATAAATTTAAGCAAAGTAATAGCATTACTTTCAAGACTATTTAAAAAGATTAAAATTAGAGAAAAATCACACAACTTGTAGCAAGCAGACTAATAAAGAAGTTAAATAAAATCTGCAAACTTAAATTTCAAATAAAATTGCATTTTTGAAGTTTTATGTGCCCTCTAAATAAAGGGCATCGATAGATAAATAAAGGGCATCAATAGACAAATATTAGAAAATAGATCGTAATAATAAATAACAATGGACAATAGAGATCATTCTGGCTCCAATAGGTCATACCTTATTGGGAGGTACAACTGCATTTTACTCCACATGGAATCATCATAACCAATTTTTAAAAAATATTAATTGAAAACAATATAGCAACTATTTATAAGTATTCCCTAACTCTCTAAAAAATATTTATATATATTCTTGTGCAAATCAAGTGTTGCCTTCAGAGCTTAGAAGAAGATTTGGCAAAAAATTTTCAAAATTTTTTAATGAATACAGTTGAAAGAAAGTAGAATAAAATTGAACAATATAGTAAAGAGAGAACATTTTGAAACATGTTAAAGATGCAGTACGTAATATTGTACCAAAGAATAAATATAACACAGTATAATTAGAGATAGAATTTAAGATTTCTAGTAAAGATACAGCAACTTTTCATTCAATATTTAATTAAAAGTTTACTACTTTCATTCGAACACCTCTATCTACTCCAAAGCGATGCTTAACACGGAGACAATTATTGCATCTTTCCTAAATTTCAATAACATGCTATCTTAATTATAGGGCCTTCAAAATAAAAAACACTCTTTGTACTTTATTTCTTAGAATTATTGATCATTTTATGTGAATAAAAAATACATGTTTCGTTAGTTAAAAAGCTGGTTGCTTTTGCTTTGCTAGAGAAATCTGAAAATCACAATTTTTGCTGTTTTATCTGCATAATTTTTTTTAATATTATTATTATTAATGTTAAATCATGGTCACCATTTTCTCTAAAAGGATGCATGTTACGTGTGAAGGAGAATAGATTATAGAGTGGATGAAATTGAGAAAAAAAGACCTTACAAATTCTGAAAATGAAAATAAATCAATGAAATCAGATAATGCAAAATCTGATAATCCAATATAATAAAAAAAATTCTAAAGTACGTAATTTGCAATTAGTACAGGTAAATTTTAAAATAAAATACCTCTATTAAATAGTCATTAAAATTAAATACCATAAAACACTATTATCTTCTGTATTTTTCACTTCTTTGTTATCACTAGTCAAAACTATCTTTGCCTTATAAAATTATTTTACTTAATTTTATTTTTAAAAAAAAAGTACCAAATTGAGATCTTAAGAAATTTTTCAAAATATTTAATTACTTCTTATGTATAATCATTTCTTAAGTATTTTCATTTAAAAGGGAAAATAAACTAAACATCTAGTTTTGTGATGTAAATCGAAACTATTGATACAAATAATTTTAATATAATATTAATAGTAATTATACATCAATATCATATTGTCAGCAATCTTTTTTTTATTAGGTAATGTATAAAAATACATTTTTTCTTTCATCCAACTGCCAGACACATAGTTATACGGAGTGTCCCAGGATTATTAGGACAATTCTTAAAGAGAGGTATGGGAGATCACAAGGATTCAGATTCTGATAGAAACATCTTGGTTAGCTGCTAGGTGATGTTGTTCACAAGAGCATTGGTGAAAACAGATATGCATTGCCACAGTCATTCGAGCTGCCATCACCTGCAGAGGAGTATGCAACGTTTTACGAACACTGAGGTGGCAGGTATGCACATGATACGTGGATTGACAGAGGAACAGAGAGCGGCAAAAAAATTTTATTGTAAAAGGTACCCACAGATTGAAGAACGGATATCCAACAACATCAAGATTTATTTGAGCAAGTACCACAATCCACTCACCGACGGTGCAAAGCATGCATCACTAGCAATGGTCAAAACTTAGAATATCTTAAGTAATATTATCACATATCATCTACACACACAGCACAAGTAATATCTTTAACCAATAAATAGTTCAGATGATCTCAGTCTTTTTTCTTTTTTGCACCTGCCACACTTACTTTCCTATGACGATTCCGACCATAGCTTGCTTAACAATTCTGAATCCTTGTGATGCCCCCCTACTTCCCCTTAAAGTTTTCCCCAATAGTCCTCTGACACCAGTTATATGGCAATCTTGTCTTTCTTTCTCTTTTTTTAAATAGAATTATATTGAAATAGCAAATGTGACCGATTTATTTTCATAGTACATGCATTCAAACAAAAAACAAAAAAATGACATAGCAATGATAAGCTAGATTGAAGTATAATATTATCTCTTTAACCTTTGATTATGGAGCCTAGTATGATGAAGCCCATCTTTCAGGTCCACTTATTGTAACTTACTATATTGTATCATTGCTGTATAGACACAAAACAGAGATTAGTTTTAAAATTGAGATATTAGCTCAATGGCAATCTGTGTCTGCAGTAGATTGAAGAGCTTCTTTTTTATTTTCATTAATTAAAACTTGCATTAAACTTTCAAAATAACAAAGTAATAACTGAAAATAATTCTTAAGACCAAGAGTTCTCCAACACAAATCCAGACACATATTTGAATTTCATACTTCAGAACTTTTGCGATGAATCAAAATTACTCCTTGTCAATTGTTTAGTAAAACTGTTACCTTTTTTTCTTGCACTTGGAAAAAGATTGAATGATTTATCTTAAATCAATGAAGATGATAGATTTTGGCAAATATATCAGTGATGAATGTAGATAGGAGGACAAGACAACCCTTAAATGTATTCTGAATTCAGGAAATTGATTTTTATTGCTGAATACTACCAATAACTACAACAGCTGGGGAAATAGGTTCTGTAACCCAAAATAATTCTTTTTTTAAATTAGCTTTGCTTGGAGTTAAGCATTTGGATGTCCTTACTAGATTCTCTTGAGGACTCCCTTGTCATGCCATCAATAAAGAAGCTAATTTTGGGCAGGCTATAAATTTGTGGAAACAAAAAAAAGCATAAAAAATTTAATACATTCTACTTTATTAGAAAGATCTTCGTTAATTTTTTAACCCTCTTTTTTTCTTAATTTTAGCCTAATTAACCAGCATGTTAAGTACAAAATAATTGAACTGCATATCTGTGTAATGTATTATAAACTATAAGAGAGATATGAATAACTATATTAATTTACCCTTTTCAAAAATTAATTTCAATATGTTATATACAGTTAATTTTTCCTTTTCTCTCTATAATTTCTTTACATATAAAGTTTTTTTTTCAGAAACAATACTTTAAATTTCTACATAAAAAATTATAAGAATAAGAAAAGTTCAAATAATTTACACAAGAGTTTTTCACATAAAAATATAACAATATGAAAAATTTTATATCATAAGGCAAAACTACAAATTTAAAGATTCATCTGTGTCAGATACAATAACATTAAGAATGTTGACATATGGATCCCACTTTGCAATGTATTATACTTCCTTATCTACTGGGTCCCAAAAACAAATTTCTATACCCCCATCTAAAGGATTCTAAATTCCTCACTTTACAAAAAGTTTCCAGAGAGAAAAATATTTTAAACTTGAGAAAATAATAGACTTAATAATATTTCTATGTTTTTCAATTTCAGAATTTTTTTTTATTTGGTATTTCAGAAGTCAACTTCTACATGTGACAACTAGGAAATTTACTATCCTGTAATCTAAAATTGGTGGTTGACTTTACTTTACACCAGGATATACGGTAGTATTTAATAATTTTTAGATTAAATATTCAACCACTAATTCTAGATGGTTTATTTTCCTTAAATAATATGCCAGTTTTTAATTAATCTGTATTATAAAATGGTGCTAATTTACAAATTAAATCTATGTTTTGGTGTTCACTCCTTGATTTTAAATTTTTCTCCTAAAAATTAATAGAAAAGTGTAATTAGCTCTCTAATTTTTTTTTTTTTTTTTCATTTGGATATACACAGCTCGAAATATGCATGATATATAACTCATTATAAGTATGCATGGATATATAATATATAAGTAGGATAACAATAAAGGCAAAAAAATAAAATAAAATAATAATAACTGAGTCACTGATCATATACTAGAAATAAAGGGCTTTAAATGAGAGGATAAAAAGACAAATAGTATATACTCTTTTATTTACAAAAATATTTAGGTTATAGCTAACAGAATAATTTATTTTCAAATAGTTAATGATAATACTAATAAAATATTGAATTCCTTAAGGTCCTATTACATGGTTACATGCTACATTACAGGTTAGTAAATGAATAGTAAAATATACACAGCGACAAAAAATAATAATTTATAACTGTACTAAGACTTTATGACAATTCCGAAAATATACAATATTAAGTACAAAATGAAATAACTGGAATCAAGTAACAAAGCGCTTCTGTGATAGTGAAATTATATAAAATGATAACTTACCGAAACCATGATTGAGCTTTTTCTTTGATCCGATGCCGTCTTCCTGTGCCGTAATCTCTGTCTTTAGAGTGAACAGGTAACATGAGTACTAATTTAAATGTCTTAAACTTCAATTAATAAATTATATTTTCGTACTACACTGTAAAGCACAAAATTACTAGACACATATGCTGATTCCTGAAACCTGGCACAAAAATAATAACAGACGACGGCGATTACACGGTTAGCAAACCGTGGAATGTCAAACGACAAGTAAATAATATTTAATTTGACTTAAAAAAACATGAAATTTCTTTAAATAAGTTTAAAATTAGGAGAAATTGTTTATAATATTTTAAAAATTGATTAATATATTTGATATCTGGTCAATTTTATTGCTCCATTAGTTTTTAGAAAGTTTTCGTTCGTAAAATACAAGCATATTTCCAATTCATCTAAATAATTGATTCTGAAACAACTATTCGAGTTGAAAACGACTCATAGTTCAAAAAAAGTATCTGAGCAGAAACTAGTTTCGTTTTGGCCTTTTGCATTCAACTCAACTTTTTATCGACACATGGCGCAATGATTATTATTTTATTTTTCGCAAACTGTCAACAAAAAATTTGTTGTAAGGTTCTAAAATCTCATCGATGCTTTGATTCAATTAAAACATGTATTGGCCATGAAGATCTTTTACAAAAGCATATCGTTGTTGTCTAGGAATTTAAGTGTTTGTTCCTATGAAAATTTATGGCATAACAGCCAATTTTTATTGCGTTTGAGGAGACACGGTTTCACTCGGCAATTCATGGATCTGCCTAGCACATCAAGTAATGATTGTACTAACTATTCTGAAGAGCCTTTCTTACCTCAGAAAGCTCTAATATTGACTAAATTTTCGAGATATGAATTTGAGAAACGAACACACTCTGAATTGTCCGAAGAAGAACTTATTAAAAATGTAAGGAGGTAAACTTGATTTCCAAGTTTTCATGTATGTTTTTTATCTTGAAATTTTTAAATTAATAGTATTTAGATATTTAACTACATTGAGGCTAGAATTCTTTAAGACATTTCTGTAACACCAAAGATTGGGTGAAAAACGAGCAGTGACACGCAAGAAGCAATTAAACTATATCACAGGAGACCAATTCTAAGAGTAACTCATAAGACGGGGGATATTTCTGTATCGTAATCTGTCGCTCCAACTTCAGTCGCAAAGGTACCAAATAGAATTTTAAACTTGCAAATGCTTTTTTAAAAAATGCCCGGGTGTGGCTGCGAGTTATACCTTTCGAGTTGGTCCCTTTCTGTAATGTTTTTTTTTAGTTTCTCGCGGGCCGCTGCCCGGAAGTTGCCAAGACTTGGCGATTTTTCTGCCACAGATAACGATACGGAAATCTCCAAAAATCGGTCATTTTTGTTAAAATAATGCGTATTTATTTCTATTTCACCTATTGAAAAATTTTATTTCATCTCTTGTACATTTATCTACTATCTTCAGTTCTTTATATAAATTAGAAAATATTGATTCTCCAATATTTTCTAATTCCTCCAATTATTAGGTAATTAATTTCTCCTTAACAATTAAATTAAAATCTTACGATACATCAGAATATGCTTTTAAAATCAAATTTTGAAAAAAATTAAAATTGCAAAAGACAATTTAATGCTTTTTTGAAAGCCTAGTCAGCCATGTAGAAATACAGTGTAGACAATACGCCTCTCAACTCTGTAGTTGAAAATTTACTTTCATTGCTAATGTATTTTTGATACATTGCTCTTTCAATAATTAGCATTTTTGGTTGTAGAGCTGAGCGACTAATTTCCATTAAGTAACAACAAAAGACCACCATGAAAGAATAATTTTTAATTCTAAAGTATTTTGATAAGTTAAGAAAAGTTTATATTTATGAAATATATAATCATGTTATCATAGCAATTCAAATAGATCAATATTTTATAAATTATTCATTTTTTATAGCTATGTAATAAATATAATGATATTACTTATCTAATCAACATTAATTGATAAATTATAAATATTCAATTATAAGATTTTGTTTCAAGATCAATTTTGCAATGGCAAGCTGTATATTGTGTAGTTTTTGAAAATATTTTAATCCAGTTTTTAAAAACTTGAATGAAATGAATCTATCCATAAATTTTTATAATCATCTATTTTTCATTCTTATGTGCCTTTGAACCAGACCTGGCCGTTCTGAGACTCTGGACAAATCTTGGATGATATAAATCCCTTCCATATTTAATTGTAGCCAACTACTGGGCGTAACTTTTTAGGTTTTCTTATCCTTCACATAAGACCCTTATCTTCTTGCGCCAACTTACTCGGTCTTTTTCACAAGATCTCATCTATCCCCCCTGTCTTTCTTCTCCATGTTAGCATGGGTCAACCTCTTTTTTTGTTTCCCTTCTGGTACCCGCGTTAAGGCTACTGAAGGCATTCTCTATATGTGTCTTATCTCTTTCAATCTTTCTCTTTATATACTGATGGTGATTTGTTTTTGCCTGGTTTTACTGTAGAGTTCTGAATTTGAAATGGTCTGAGGCCAGAATATTTCTGAATCATATTTTATTGTCAAAAATTTAGTTTTGTACTATGAAGTTTTATTAATTTGAATGTATCTAACACATACAACAGTGCACTCCTTACCACTGAATTAAAAATGTTAATTTTAGTCATTAGCTTTAAAGTTATTTGCCTCCAAACTTTTAAAAGTTTGTTGAAGCAAAATTGTGCTTTCATAATTCTTGATCCTATATCTGCATCTATACCTCCCTTTCTATCAACAGTTACACAAGGGTAAGTGAATTTTTCAACATCTTCTATTTCACCATTCTTAATTTTAACTACACAATTTTAACAATGCAACATTTCCTGCATATTTTTCAAAAATATTTGTTTTGGATTGCAGATTATCTAAACTAAAAATACTTATTGATTTTGCCGCTTATCTTTAAGAAGTTTTTTAAAAATAATTATTTTTCAACTAATTACTCTCTAAAAATATTTTTTTTCATTTAATTAATATTAAATTATTTATAAAATATTTAATCTGTTAAAAAAAAAGATGGCGAAAATAAATGTTTTAATATAAAAGTATTTATCAAATAAATTCACTCAACAAATAGTTCTGTTTTTTTCAATGAACAAAATCTTGCGAATCATATGCTTAATCTTCAAAGGATAAACCAGAACCCATTTCTTATAGCCATCAATATACACCAGATGTATTTATGCATTATATTAATAACTTTCTTTTCCCCTTCCCCCTATACTTTAGCTAGAAGATAGAGGTTCAGATTACAATAATCTTCTTCAGCATCACCAAATTCATACCAATAATCGTGAACTTGTCATTAATACACTGAAGTGAGTATGTTTTTCTGCAGTTTTTAAAAAATTTCAAAAAATAGTTTAGTTAATTTTTTTTCCAAAAAAATTCTCTGATAATCTGTGTAACTTTGTGGTAGTTCATTGTTCATAATTATATATTTTATTTTTTAGAGAAAATGGGATTGAAACTAAAGTTGTTAATAGATTTGATTATTCAGACTCTAACATAGATTGGGCAGATGTAATTATCACAACAGGTGGCGATGGCACTTTTTTGATGGCTGCGAGTAAAATAAAAAATAAAAATAAGCCTCTTATTGGAATCAACAGTGATCCAACTAGGTAATGTATTTAAATTGTTTCCTTAAAGTTCTCTGATAATCTATTTGATATTCAATGTTTGTAGCACTGAAGCTCTAAATTGCTTTATTATTACCTATTTTTCCTCTTCTTATCTCCTACCTGGTCTAACGCATTCAGACCAGGTTGAATAAACCATTTACTTTAAGCATGCTGATGAAAAACAGAGAAGACGAGTAGATTTCTTCTTTGCTGAGTCCATGATATGTTTGAGTGTGGCTTGAAGAAGCTGGCATTTAAGACAATTGGAAAGAATTCTCCACCAGAGAAGTTTAAATATTTTAAGTGACTGGAAGCGTGGCGCAATAGGCAAGGTTGGGTAGACCCCCTGTGGCAGAATTGCGGCAACATTGTCGCAGAACATTATATAGTTTTGCTGAAAGATTTTTCATTTGGGAAAGGGAAAATTTCGGTTTTCCTTTCTGCATAATTTCTTGAAGAAAAAAAAATTTATTTTTCTGCGAATTTTTTTTCTTTAAAAATGTCTTTCTTGCGCATCAGAGAGGAAAGAAATTATCGTGATTTTTCTAATCTCATTTGAGATTTTTTAAACAAAATCTGTAATGACTGGCTTAGCTGAAATTTCAAAATAATAATCTGAATTAAAAAATTCAGAAATCGCGAAAGTTTAAAAGAATATGATGTTGTTTCGCTCTAGAAATGATGTTTCGTTCTTTCTTTTTTCCCTTTAAAGCAATCCATATTTTAAATACACTTATTTGAGAATCTCTTTTTGTAAAGAGTCCTATTTACATGATTTGTGATCTTTATTTTGGCAGTTGCTGCCAAATTACAATTTTTAATTTATGTACGAATTTTAATTAGTGAATTTTTCCGCCTACTAAATGCGAGAAATCGCATATATTATTAGAATTAATAAAATATTTCTTTTACAATTAAAATTTTTTATACATTTTTATTCTTTACTTTCTTCGCAAGCACAACTTTTCTGCTACTTTAACTTAGTAATTGTTATAAAAAGTATCTTAAAGCAAAATATTAGTGCTAAGGAAGTTTGTCGCAGAAAGCCCGAAAAAATTCTGCCTCAGGGGGTAGACCTGTCTCCAGAAAAGGAATGAGAGAATCCTGGTTCAGTCGCATGTACCAGTTGTTGGTGCGGCCTAAAGCCAGTCTTTTTTCACAGCAGAATTTTTGATAGCATAAAGTTCTATAAATGTTAATTTAGTGGTATCAGAAGTCTGTTGACAGCAATCTTCTTTTGCGACTTTATCTGCTATTTCATTGCCATAAATATCCACGTGTGATGGCACCCGTATTCGTGATGTTATGAAATGAGTTTTAGTTTAATACAGATGGAAATACTTGTGCAGTCACCAGTATTTAAAATATTTTTAAGAGCCTGGAATGCACTGTGGCTATCTGTCAAAATCCATATGTCTTTAAAGTTTATGTCTTCTGTGATTGCCTTAAGTCTTAACTCAATTGCTAGGAGTTCACTTTTGAAGACAGGGCAAAAGTTGGGGTTACGTTGGAAAAGAGAAATTTTGACCTATTTTTCTATCTATGTAAATTATCTGAAGCAATATAGTGATAAGGTGCTCATTTCCAAATAAGACATTTTTACATTAAACTATTTTTAAGTGTTATTTCTGGTCAGATACTTTATGATTTTGCTGAATTTCAACTGGATGATGCACTCATAGCTGACAGTTTATTTTCATTATAAAAAAAATTTCATTTCTATTGTACAAATATTAGTTTTCTCTATAGAAAAAGCTTGATAATCAAGTAACTGAATTTTTAACTACTCGTAAAAAATTTTAAATTATTGCCTACAACTCTTCAACTTCTATTGTATTGTCTGTATTGAATATACATTATTATTCACCAAAAATCCTTTATAAAAAGTGTTCTCCTTAATCTAATATCCTAAGCCCTCTGCATGATTTGTACTAAAGTTAATATTACTGACTTAGTGAATCAATTTTTCCCCTCCTGTGTGAATGTTGACTAACGAATGAAGATTTTGTAACCTTACAAATATTTATTATTTAATATCTATCTATTCAATAATTAAAAAAGAAAAACAAAACTATGTCCTGAAACAGAATTCATCTCCAATGTTGCTCTATCATAGTATATTTAATTAACTAATTTTCTAAATATGTTTTAAAACTGATTTATTACATATATACTAAGTGTTGTTGTTGTTTCTAATCCCCAAGAGGTCCATCCTAATTAGACCAATTCCATAAGTCCAGGAAGTCTAAAAACAGATGAGGTTTTGAAAAAACCTCGTTGATCTTAAAATTGATACAGTTTAGAATATGCTCGGGCGAAGCCTCAGCAGTCCTACATTTAGTGCAAAGTCCAAAAGTCTTTTGCCCCTAAACATACGAGAGGCACCTCAAGTGACCACTAAAATGCTATAATACTAATATGACTTTTACATTAGGAAATCTAATAAATGTATTATAGCTAATCTATATCTTATAAAAAGTAAATCCATATTTTTATGTAATGTAATCTATTAATTTGTTACTAATGAGGGTTTTTGCCTTTTTAATATAACCATATTGTTTGTTTCTTTAAACAGGTCCTTAGGGCATTTATGCCTTGATTCAAAGTATACAGAAAATTTTCCCTTAGCACTGCGGAAATTAAAAGAGGGCAATTTCAGGTAGAATCTTTTTATTTGTAATAAGGTAACAATTGTATAGTTTTAAAGAGCATGAGGAATTTATTTAAGGCAAATGTTTTTAATTGTGAAAATTATGTAAAGATTAAATCTCTTTAATGCTCCACCAATTATACTTGCACATCTGTAATTGCAGTGTATTTATTTTTTAATACAAACAAAATGCAATTAGTTTTAATGTTGAAAAAACATTCTAAATTTCTAACATTCTAAAGTCTTGTTTTTAACAAAACAAATTGTATCGCTTTTTATCTCACTCCAAACAGTTTATTTGTTTGTTTGTTTTTTTAAAAAAAGAATTTTAATGTTTATAATTTATGATAATTGTTATGATTATTGTTACTCATTAAGAAGGAAAATTCTGAACAGATAATCATTAAATCTGATAATTTAAAATATTTTTATAGAAAAAATAAAACACAAATTTAAAAATTCGAATCTAATCAAGGAAATGTGAATAATCAGCTCTTGAGAACAATTTTAAGCACTCCAAAATGTTCATAAATTTCAGGATTGTTTTTTCTCCTTCAGTGCAATTTAATTTAGTCTGTCTTTATTAATTTGTTTTTTTTCCTTTAATGTGTGGTGTTTATAAATATTTTTTATGTGCAGTGCACAAAAAAAACAGACCACCTTGAATAACTTTTGATCAAATGATTAGATCATGTTCTAAGACTCATTCTTAATGGTTTGATATGGTGACCACAAGTATTCTAATTAATAAGTGCAGACGATATTTAAGTTATGAAATCAGAAACAGAAATGTACTTTCTTTGAATAAAAATGCCTTTTTTTTCCAACAGATTCTGATTTTTGATCCCCAAATTTTAGGGGGTAACTGCAATCTGGGAAGTATGGTCTCCTTAGTTTGGTCAAGAGAACTCTCCAAAGTTTTAGACCCTTTAATGTTAATTTTACTTTTCAATATATGATGAGAATTTTTTAACCAAATTGAAAGTTTTTACCTATAATTAAAAGATTTGTTTATCCAATTATAATTCCATGCAACAAATAACTTTTAGTAAACATTTATTATTTTTATTTAAGAATGGTCAAAAAAAATTTGACTTGTAAGGTATACAGTTTTTTGCAATGTAATTTTATATAGCAAAATACAAAATCAGTCGAAAAGTTCTGGCGAAACCTAAATTTTAAAAAAGTCACATACTTAAAATTCTATTTCTCATGAACTATTCGACCGATTTCGCTCTAATTTTGGATTTTGCTATATAAAAAACATTATTTAAAATTATGCAAACAATTGTATACCTTAACCCTTTAAAATGTTTTGGACCATTCTTAAATTAAACACCGTATATTCCGGCGCATAACGCGCCCCGGCGTATAACGCGCACCCGTAATTTCTAATTACTTTTTTTAAATTTTGAGATATACTCTTCGTATAACGCGCACGAAAATTTAGATTTTTAAGAGAAGAACTTTTCCCAAATGTAATTCTCCAAAGGGTATTTTTGTTCATGTCCACGAAAAAGGCTGGATGGACGAAAGTGGTGTTAAATTGTGGGTAAAAATTGTCTGGCAAATCCGTCCTGGTTGCGTAAGAAAACCAGAAAGCCTTTTAGTGTGGGACATGTTTAGGTCCCACCTTACAGATAACACAAAAAAAATTGTTTAAGGAATGTAACACCGATATGGCAGTTATTCCGGGCGGATTGACACCATTAGTTCAGCCATTGGACGTCTGCTTAAACAAACCATTTAAAAAAAACAGTGGAACACTTGGATGTTGGAGGGTGAGAAAACCTTTACGAAAGGAGGACATATGCTTCATGCAAGTTTGGAAACAGTGTACGAATGGATATTAAAAGCATGGGATAAAATTAAGCCTGAGATGGGGAGAAAATCATTCAAAAAATGCAGCATTTCAAATAATCTGGACGGATGACTGTTTATTTATGGATGAGGGTAACACACATGATGAAGACGAAACAGATTGTAATGACGTGCCTGAAGAAATAACGGAAGAGGAATATAATGAACTATTTATGTAATAACGAAAATCAATAAAGAATATAGGTAAAGGTATGTTATTTCCTTAAAATAATAGTATTTTTCTATATTTAAATTTTTTTAATCTATAATTTTTTATATTCGGCGTATTCCGCGCACCCGTAAATTCCAATGTTATTTTTTGTATTAAAAGTGCGCGTTATACGCCGGAATATACGNTGGAATGACTGTATGTACAGGAACTGGATCAACATCCTGGTCTTTCAACATAAATAAAGTTACTGAACAATGTGTCAAACATCTTCTGAAAATCAGTGAGTCTTGTAAACTTTTTATGTTACATGATTTATTTATTTTTTTTTAATGTACTTTTCAGTTTGCCAGACATGCATAAATTCAATTACGTTTATTACTATTGTTTTGTTTTTTTATTTGAATATATTATTTTTTTGAATATATTTTGAATGGGCACCATCTAATTAAAAAATAATTGAATTTACTTGCACTCATTTAACAAAAAATTAAAAAAAAATTTTTTCTTCTTCATCTGTACTTCGACAATAAGTAGTCTTTTAAAGATTGTAGTAAATTTTTTTACAATTTTAGTAAATTAGCATGTTACTCATGTGAAGAAAATGTATAAAATTGTACACAAATAGATTTATTATATTATATTGTTTTAAAATAATTTTTAAAAATATAATATTACGATTGGTTTCTGTTGTACAATTGTTTAATGGCTTTTTTTTTCTCCATTCATTGTGTTTGCATTTTTATAACTAACTAATAGATTTATTACACCTTCCGAACAATTATACACTTTTAAGTAATTATTCTTTATATCTTTTATGTTTTTTCATAAAATTTTTGAATGAATATACGCTAACCTAAAATAATGTAACACTTTCAGTTGATCACTTTCAGCTTGCACCTCCAGTTTTGTAACTTTAGCAATGTTAGGTTCATGTGATTTTAAGGTTTCAGATGTTTGAGAGACCTGCAACAAATTATGAACGGAAAATAATTGTTTTGAACAAGCTGTAAAGTCTAAAAATATTAAAAAAGTATCTAGCTAACAAAAGTTATCAAGTCTAAAAATGTGAAAAAAATATTTCTTCTATATTTCTTGCAACATTATTACTAGCCCATTACAGGTACTTTAATTTCCTTACTGTATTTGTTGTGGGGAAAAAAAAGTTTTTTTTTTTTTTTTTTTTTATATAAAATCTGNAAATCAAGCAATAAGCTTGTAACTTGTATAGATTACTTTATTTGTTATTTTTAATAACTGCACAGAAGTTTCGTAAATTTGAAGTAAATATTTATGGAAATATGAACATTTTTAAAAAAAAATAATTTTTTTCACATTGCGTTTCTTCATTATAACTTTATAGATATCCAATGAAATTAAACAAAATTTTTGGAGGAATTGAAGATTTGTTACAAAGTTGTCAATTTAAGATTTAAAAAAAATTCTTTTATACTGCACATGCACTGAAAAATTTTTTTATTTTTTTCATAATTTTATAGTGAATTATGTTTGGCAACTAATAAAAAAAATTTATTTAAATATCTTAAAAATTTAAAAAGTTTCAAAAATTTTTGAAGTAGTTTTTGTTCTTTTCAAAAGAAATCTAGAAATTTCTTAGAAATTTTAAAATATATCAAAAACTGAAAGTGTTTCTTCCGTTATTGTAGGGTAGTTTAATGTTTTCTGCCACTAAACAATGTTGGAATTTGTCTGCATAATTATGTTAACATTAAGCTCTTATTTTTAGCTGCTGATGAAACAAAAATAGCTATTCCGCTTACTGATGATGAGCTTATAACTAGAATTACTTCTAAATTTAACAATTCTTTGATTTTCGATCCTACAAAACAACTTATGGCATATACACTGAGAGACCCAATAGTATTTGGTAATAAATTACTTTATCAGTTTCTAATGAAATAAACTGCTTGTTTTTTTAACTAAATCCTTATTTTATGTATATTTTAAGGAATGGGTTTCAAATGCAAGCCAAGAGGATTTGCTAGAAAGTAAGTTAATGTTTCTGTCTATTTATTACATTGTTGATTAATTTATTCTTAAATTAATCATGATAAACTTATCCAACTTATCGTCCCACAGTGGACTGATCATTAAGCAGATCACCGAAGTCAAGCATCATTGACTGCGGGTGGGTGACCACTTGGATCAGTCTGCGTAGGGACCGAGGGTGTGCGGTATTGGTCCTCGTTAAACTGTGCTACCGTAAAGTGCTCGACTTTGCGTGCAGGTCGTCGGGCTACTGATGCAGGGGTGCCATCTCCTCTGCAAAGGATCAAAATTGTGATGGCATGTCTTCGGATCATCCTCAGAGATGTTTCCCAGACCGTCGCCAATAGCCCATTGTGCAGCTCTAGTGCGACGTAAATGAACAACAACAATATCCAACTTATCGTTGTTTTTTTATTAAATTCTTTTGCTTGTTTTAATACCTGAAGATACCAATAATATTATCTATTGGTCTGTCCAAGGCAAATTTACTATGTTTAGCGGTACCTTCACAAATTCCACTTTAGAGAAATGGTTTCACAGAATACTTTTAAAAAAGCAAGTTCTACAAGTCTGCTCCCCGCTACTTAAAATTTTGTTTCTGTATCCCCGTAAAAAATTATAAATCCTGGATTAATTACGTATTTTGACTTGCAATGGAACCCTCCAGCTGGCTGCTATTATGACGTAGTAGAAGAATTCGCTTCTCTCTCGGTTTGTAAGAAGTGTGCTTTTTCTCCCCATACCTGTCTGAGAGCATGCTGGAATCCCGAATTGCCATTGGAGAAAAAGAACATCGGCTAGTCCATTCTTTAGTTGAGGTGGAAGAAAAGGTGCTAGTACCATGCAAACCCTGTTCTCTTTGCAGTCTGTGGAAGAAGAAAAAAAAGAGCTTTTCCGCAGGTTGTCTTCTAAGATTAGACAGCACGTATTTGATTAGATACTGCAGTTAGGTAAGCCTACCGCGGTAAGTCCACGTGTGCGTCTACTGAACAGGGTTCGGTGAGATTCTTGCACTCTTAGGTGCAACTCTGCTGCATTTTGCAAGATATTCTCAATTTCAGGCTTCGTTTTCCACTGTCTGATATATAACTTGAAAATCTCTTCATCTTTTTATGATAGCTAATATAATCAAGAAGATAGTTCTTTGTCAGAAACTGGTTATTTTAATTGGTTATGATCATGTAAAGTCTTAGAAAGTTATTTTGCATTTTGTTAATGTAAGTGCTTAAAAATATTTTTGAGTGCTTAGAAAGTACTTACTCTGCAAAAAGGCCTTTTGCAGAGCGTTTTTTAAAAGAAATTACATGTCTCTCCCTCTCTGAACTTTACAGAAAGTCAAAATTCCAACTATTATCTTAAACATTATTCTAGCAGACCTTTATTTTTTTTATCTGTGAACTTTTATTCTGTATGACCCAGTCAAAAATGTTCTCATAATTAAAGTAACTTTTAGCACTAGTACTAAATGTTTTAGCACTAGTTTTTATTAAATTCAAGTTGAAATTTAATAATGTACAATGATTTTTATGGATTCTTAAATTTGGATACAATTTTTTACCCAAAGTTTTACAATAACAAAATTGTTTTTTAATATATGATGGAGAAAAATATATAGAAATTTACCAGTCATAAATTATTTTTATTTGTAGTGACAATTTTTGAAAATATTTTCTTACTTTACCATATTTTTGTGTTGATTTTTTAATATAATTTATAATTTTAACAAAATAGGTATCTCATTAAAAAACCTAAGACAAACTCCTGTTATCAAAAAAAAAAATTTAGTCTATAAATGTCACATTATAAAGATATAAATTGGGTAAAATGTAACAGAGCAAAGTTTTTGTTAAAAATGTGTTTGCATAATGTAGATTACCTATTGAATACATAACTGTTACGGTATATATGGGGTTCAGGCCTGTATTGGTGACATAGCAACAAATTTGTCGCTTATGCATATTTCCTCGTTTAGTTATTTATTTGGTTTCAGCATTTTAATATCTATGTTTAATTTTATTTACTTATATTATTTTGGCTTTTTTTCAATTAATTTTACCAAATACTAATCTTTAATCATTATAAGGTAATGAACCTAATGAGTTTTAATGTGTTATAAATGGCAATTAATATTTTTTTATTTGTATGATAACATGAATTGTATAATTGTAAAGTTTGATTTTTCCCCTCTCTTTTGTCTAACATAACTTCCCCTTTCCACCTTTATTATTTCTACCAAGTTTTTGGACCATTAAATGTCACACTACAGGGGTCTGTCTAGGTTTTTCTGAAAGGTACCTATTTTGTGAAAATTTAGACATAATTTGTGAAAAATTAAAAATTATATTAAAAAATCAATAGAAAAACATGGTAAAAATATAGATTTATTGTTTCTTAAGGGATACAAAAGTAAAATTTTAAGAGAAAGCATTTTGTGAAACTACCGTTTTTCCTAAAGTTGAATTTGTGAAACTACCGTTTTACCTAAAATTGAATTTGTGAAGGTACCGCTAAACGGTAGTAAATTCGGCCTGGACAGACCCCTGCACTAGGTCTTCTTTTTAATGAACTTTATAACTAGACTAAATTAAAAATTCAGGAACAAGGACTAAAAGTTTAATTGTTGGACATAAAACCTAATTTTGAGATTATTATAAAACGATGAAAAATTTTCATTCCTCTATATAAATATTTTAAAAATAAAGGAGTGTTATATGGGTTAATGTGTTCACAGTTACCTTAACAAACTTTATTCATAAAATCTGGGTTCCACTAAAAGAAGGTTTATTATTTAAGTAGGGTTGCCACTCCACAGGGAGAACAAGGAAAACCTGGAAAATACAGGGAATGTAAAAATCACCTTTAAATAACAGGGAAAATTTAGGGAATTTTGAATTTTTCTTTACAAACTGGGAAAATACAGGGAATTTGTTTTTTTATTTTGGTCTTTTAAAAATGGTGACCACTCAAAGCGTAATCTATGGGATATTTAACCCTGATATTTCCGCTATACTAAACTATTTCATTTACCATAGCATTATTTAAGTATGTTCAGCTGTTTTTCCAGCAATTGATACTAATTAATATAGTTAGCCCATTATAGCTCACGCAAGAGCTCAGTAATTGTTGTTTCCTCTTTATCTATTGTGTATAACATGTACAGGGAACACACAGGGAATTCTTTTTCCAGATTTGAGTGGCAACACTGTTAAGGTTCCATGATCAGAAAAAAAAATTGAAACCACTGCAATAGAACCTCGATTATCTAAATTCTAGGTGAATCTTATAGAAGTAATGTGCCAATTAGTCTGTAGTACACATGCCAAGCAAGTTTTTTAACTTTTCTTCTTGACAAAGAAGACTTTTTTTTTGTTGCATCTCTATTTGGGGGGATCTACATCTAAGTCTTGCTAGGAATGGAATTTTTTTCTTTAGTTGATAGATTCATTTCATGGTAAAAAGTCCTGTTGTTGTTGTTGCCGTAGGCCATTAAGGCAAGGGGTGCGATTGTTCTTGTTAATATGACCAAGAATTCGACTTCTGCCACACCCATTTATAGAGTGGACCCATTCACACATCCATTCATTCATCCACAGATGGTAATTTTGACCTGAACCAGAGAACTATCAGTCTCTGTTTCAATACCCGCTGGAGTATAGTTTGTTTTGGGAACATGGAGGACTTTGTGACCTGACAGATTTAACGTGCACCAGCAATAATTTAGTGCGCCAGTCTTCGGCTGTCTGAATGTGAACTTCCGTTCTCTCAAACAGGGGTCCAGTACGCTACCAACCAGGCTATCCCGGCCCGGAAAAAGTCCTTAAGGATTTAAATGAATATTATTATTTTTTTTTATCAATTCAGTCGTTAAAAGAAATATTTAATTTTTTTTGCAATTTTCTCTCTTACCAAAATTTAAAAATGTGTTTACTTTTTTTCTAAGCATGTGAATTGAAGCATTTAATTGCCATATTTTTGTAGGATTGAAATCAAATCCAGAATGTTTGATGCGTGTTTAGTTATTGATGGTGGTCTTTCATTTACTTTCAACGATGGAGCTACTGCAACTTTGGAAATCCATGATGATGACGCATTGCGTACAATCACCTTACCCGAGTTATAAACTTATAATTGTTCTGTTCCCTACTTCTTCTTTTTTTTTACACACCTCTCACATTGTGCCTTATACTCAACTATGCATTCATGAGCATCAAATTTTAAATATTTCATTTAATGATTGTGATGATTTATTTAAATAGTTATGAATTTAAAATGTATTAAATCATAAATTATTTTATTTATTTCTTCACCAATATTCAATTTACTCTAGCTTGTTGAAATTCATTAAGTGCTTGAAGTGTAAAAAACTTAAATAAAATGTTGTGATTTTTCAATAATGTCATTCTGTAAATACAGTGTTTTTCAGGATAATATTTTGTACTTGTTAATGATATTTTAATGAATTTGCTTCATTATGCTGCTGGCAGCTCAGGTGCATTCATTCATTGTTGCTTATTGGAAAGAAAACAAAGGAAAGGGATGCCAACTGCTATAGATTTCCCATAATTTCTACACATTTTTATTTTGCTTTAAAAGATAATAGAAAATTCAAGATTTCTAAAATTTTTCAATGTACTTTTAATACCTCTCTTTTCCAACTTAAGAAGAACCTCATACTTTAATTTTTGTTATTTGGCATTAAATTCATCATTTATTAATTAAATAAACTTATCTTCATTCAATGATAGTTTTCTCCATGCTTAATCAATTAACAAAAAAATCTTGGAAAAACATATAATGTGTTTTACTGCTGTAAAATCGTAAAATATAAATAAAATTTTATTTTGAAATATGTTGAAATTTTCATGAAATTCTTAAAGGTTGGATAATTTCAATTCTGAAATTTAAGTGGGAACCCTGTAAAATGAACTTTAACTTGTGTTGTGTTTAAAAATATATATATTATCAGATTTTGGTATCATTACTAAACGTTTTATATTAAGTTATCTTGTTTACCAAGAAAAAATTGCTGTGCAGCTCCATGAAAGCATCACTACAAATTGACATCCCTTTGAATTAGTTGAGTTCACGCTCTGGTGTTTATCATTCCAGCAAATAATGGTGTATTTAAATGATTTTTGCTTTTAAGAATGATCTGCTTGTTTTGAGTAATTTTTGTGCAATATATTTTGTTGTTTAATCAGTTATATTTATAAGGTTAGTTCAATAATTTTGTTCTGTTATTTTTTTTTCTTCTTATTTTTGAAGTAAGAAAAATATGGCAATAGAAAAAAATCATAATGTACTGCAAACTGATTAAGGAATGTACTGCAAACTGACAAGACATTATTTCTATCAGTTGTTGTTTTTTTTCGGGGGGGGGGGGATAATTCTGGATTAACTTGCTTCAAAGAAATTTTGATCAAAGTAAAACACATTGTTGAAAAGTGGTCTTTCACATTAATTTATTACTTTAATTTCATTGTAATTATTTTCCAAGGAAGATTGCAGTCTTTGAAACACTAATAGAAGTATCTTCTCTAGAACCTTGTAATACATGGTGTTCTGTAAAAACCACCTTTAATATATATTTTTAGAATCCATGTCAGAAATAGAATCTAAAAAGTAATCAATGTGTAAATCTATGTTTAAGGGTAAAATAATCAAAATTTAGTAATTCAGAAGAAATGAAAGGTAGTTATTAGAAGCACCTTAAAGAACAATCAAGTATGGTTTAGGTGTTAAACTCACTTTTTTAGTGGCTTGAACTGATTTCAATAGCTTTTTTGTTTCTACTTTGCTTAAATATTAATTTTGCACCCACTAATGAGAATGCTTTTTGTTTCATTTTCGACCAGGATTCTAAAAATATATCATATAGAACACCACGTGGGTCATTTTCATTTTGAAGTTGCAGCTCTTTTATTAATATTGTGATCTTTCATGGATGAAATTAAAAGATGTTATTTTTTAAAAAATACAAATGAAATTAACATTTTATGAAAATTACTAGTTAGTGGTCTTAATTTATTGTATTATTATTACATTCTGTGTCTATTTTATAGAGCCATTAAAAAAGTCATGAGTCTCTAATTAGGGTTATTTAAGTATCTTATTATTAGAGTTGCAAGTTTTTCATGTCAGGAATGTCGGCAATAATTTCCACGAATAATTGATTTGATTTGATTTTTCATAGAAGCCACACATTTTTTTCAAAATGCCTGCATTTATTCAGAAATTGTTTGCAGTGTAATTATTACTCAATTGTAGCATTAATTAGAACTTTTCTGAAGCTTCGAAATAGAAAATGTATATTTGATAAAACATTTATGGAATGGATTAATAATGAAGTGACATTTTTAAAGGTTTCCTAATGTTTGAGGATGGAAAAAATCAAAGAATTTAATGCTTACAAAAAAACATTCAATAAATTAGATGTTGACGGAGGGAAATTAATCTAGTTTTTGGAAATCTAAAACAAAATGTCCTAAGCAGCTGGGTTACTTAATACTTGTCAGTGTGTACAGACTATGAATACCTTTAAAGGTGGATTTTAAAGTTAGTATTAAGATTGTTTAGCAGTGTTTTACACTAAAATTCTATTCATTTGAATGAAAATAATATTTAATCAAAAAATATAAATCTAAAGTGCCCAACCTTGTAAACAATTAAAATGGTCTATAAAGAAGTAACTACTTTATGAATTCTCTTTAAAAATGGTTTGTTAAATACATATTCATATAAGTAAAGTGTACTAGATTTATAATAACTGGATTTCTAATTTAAATATACACTTTATAGAAAAAGTTAGCTTAAAAATTTGCTGTATTTCTTTTCAATAAAATTGTAGAACTTCCATTGTGATTTATTAAAATACACCAAGAGAACATTGATTCATTTTCAAAAGGCAATTGATCTTGAATATTCAAAAAGTTATCTTATAAGCAGTATAACGAATATGAACTTGTTCAGATTTATTCTTAGAATTTCTGGGAACACATAACAAAGTAACCCTTTTTAAAAAAAAAACTGGGAAACATTTCTTTCAAAATCCAAGTATCATTTATAACTAGGGACAATAAATGGAGAGGAAGAAATAGAAAGATCACTTTGGACAGGTACAAATGTCATTGCAACAAAGGCATATAGTCAATATATGAGATAAATTCATATGCTCTTTTTATAAGTGGGGGGAAAAAATCGGAAAATGTGATCACTTTGACAGGTTTTACTATGCCTTAATTGTTTTGTTTGTTTTTTTTTAATTTTTTTGAATTTTTGTTTTATTTGTTCTTTTTGTAGGATTGNAGGAAGAAATAGAAAGATCACTTTGAACAGGTACAAATGTCATTGCAACAAAGGCATATAGTCAATGTATGAGATAAATTCATATGCTCTTTTTATAAGTGGGGAAAAAAATCGGAAAATGTGATCACTTTGACAGGTTTTACTATGCCTTAATTGTTTTGTTTGTTTTTTTTTAATTTTTTTGAATTTTTGTTTTATTTGTTCCATATCTGTCTTACTATTTAATGAAAACTGTATCTTTATTTATACTTTATTATTCAAACATTAATGACTTTTGTTTTATTACTTCCTAAACAAGATTTTTTCTTACTACTAAATTAAAATCTATATCTTTATTTATATTTTTATTATTAAAGCATTTTTAACTTTTGTTTTATTGCTTCTTAAACAAAATTTTGCTATTGAATTAATTATGTTTGATTTTTTTTTTTTTAATCCTTAATGTTATTAAAACTACATCCAGTGAATAATGTGAAAAAACTGATAAAATATTTATTTTTTCCCTGCTTATGATAGTAACTATGTGTGTTGAAAAGATTGGATAATAGTCAATTAAAAATTCCTTGTCTACTTGGATATTTAAAAGTTAGCAACCAAAAAGGTATGAATTACAAAACTGCTACGATTTTAAACTCTGAGATTCATGACATTTTGAATGTTCTAATATAAATATTTCATTTTATTGTTTTAGTTTCTCTTACATTTTTAAAAAAAAATGTTTAAAGCCCAGTATTATTAAATATCATTTGTGTAATAATTTGTAACTTTTCTATAGTGTTATTTTGGAATTATATACACATTTGTGATATCAGCTTGCTTTTATGCAATAAAAAGAAACTCTTTAGTATACTTGTATTAGTTTTTTTGTCTTAAATCGTTAATGACTTTTTATGATTGTATGTTTTCACCATTAATCTTAATTTTTGGATATTTAATTTAAAATATTCATAACCTATAGGATTAAACATTTGAAGTATTTGTAATACAGTTGTTAAAGCTAGATACGAAACTTATATCCTCTATTTTCTACAATATATATATATAGCATAAAAAGCTTCAATTAATCTTTTTATGTTAGTTATATTCTGAATATCCTTTTCTTTTATTTTATTAATCTAATCGAAATAAGATCGGTTAAATTTGATAATCGGTACTCTACTGTATTTTGAATTTTCAAACATCAGCTTTTTTTAAAAAAAATTGTGTGAATGGGGAATGCTTGGATACTTAAAATTTTTATTTTGTTGAAATTTTCACAATGTTTTTTTAGATAAAACTATTCGACGCATGTTTTATTTTTCTCATTTTTTCGAGGAAAAAAATTTCTTATGATTTTAGGGATTAAAAATTTGAGATCCAATGAAATTTTGAGAAAACTGTACATGTTTACATGAGGCAATACTTTTTGTGATATGAGTTCACCATGGTAGTGACCTTTATTTTGTGCTCCTTGCTAACTATTTAGACATAAATACTTTCAATGATCAAAGGTAATCCAAAAATCTGAAAAAAACACTTTTTCTCTTAGACTTGACTGTCAAAATATACTTGTGAAATCAGAAAAACGAAGGTATATATTACTGATAATACATAAAAAGAAGTAGTACCTAAAAAAAAGCATATGTGTGATATACATTGGGCAAAATAAAAAACGGACCATCCTGAATAACTAATGATCGGATCGTCACGTTCTAGGATTCCATCTTAATGGTTCGAGAGGGTGACTTAAAGTGTACTAATTAATTGGTGTAGACGATATTTTAAGCTACAAAATAGGACTAAAAATTTCTCGAATTTCTGACACCGAAAATATAAACGAAATCTGGGAATTATGGTCCCAATAGTTTGGTCAAGAACGCTCCAAAGTTTTGATTCCTTAATGTTAATTTTACTTTTTGCGCATTTCGCTATGTCTCGAGAACTTTTTAATCGAATTAAAAGCAATTTTTTACATTCATTTATAAAATTCGTAAGATAATTCTGTGCAAACTATAACTTTCAGTAAATATTTATTATTTTATTTAAGAATAGTCAAAAAAATTTTGAATTGTAAGGTATACAATTGTTTACATCATTTTAAAGAATATAGTTTTGGTTGTTAAAGAATATAATTTTGCGGAATTTGGTGAAATTAGTTGAACAGTTATTGAGAAATCAAATTTTGAAAAAGTCATATTTTTAAGGCTTTTATTATTATTTTGTTGCCCTGTACATTGATGCTTTCAAGATGAAATTAAAACTATTTATCAAATGTTAAATAGCACCCTTTTTTTTTCATTTTTTACATACCTACGTATTTTCAAGTCTCTCAATCTTATGATTTTGCACAACAGAACGAAATACAATGTCTGTGCTTTTGTTTAACTCCGGTAAAAAGTTCAGAAGCCTCAGTTAAGTTAATTGTGGTAGTAAATACCAACTATAGTTATAGGTTTTTATTGCCTCCCTCCACCCCCAAAACTGATGAGAACCAATATCATCCCCTGAGAAAATTTCTGTAGCCGCTACTAATGTATATTATTAAAAAGATGCATCATTCTTCAAAAATACAAATGTAATTTTAGAAAAAGAAGAAGAAAAAAGACTTAAATAAAGTATTATGTACATCACCGGCATTTTAAGAAATGTAAGCATTCTATATAATACTCTATTTTCCGGTTTGCCATTCTATAAAAGCATCGACAATGTTTAATCGTTTTTAAAAGATGCTTAGATATTCTATAGAATACCCTATTTGCCGTTTAACATTCTATATAAAGCGTCTACACTATTGGATCGCTTCTAAAAAATGCTTAGATATTCNAAGAATATAGTTTTGCTTGTTAAAGAATATAATTTTGTGGAATTTGGTGAAATTAGTTGAACAGTTAATGAGAAATCAAATTTTGAAAAAGTCATATTTTTAAGGCTTTTATTATTATTTTGTTGCACTGTACATTGATGCTTTCAGGATGAAATTAAAACTATCTAAACCCTTTAATAAATTCAAATTAATTATCAAATGTTAAATAGCACTTTTTTTTTTCATTTTTTACACACCCTCGTATTTTCAAGTCTCTAAATCTTATGATTTTGCACAACAGAACGAAATGCAATGTTTGCGCTTTTGTTTAACTCCGGTAAAAAATTCAGAAGCCTCAGCTAAGTTAATTGTGGTAGTAAATACCAACTATAGGTACTATGGTTATAGGTTTTTATTGCTTCCCTCCACCCCCAAAACTGATGAGAACCAATATCATCCCCTGATTGCAACCCCCTGAGAAAATTTCTGTAGGCGCTACTAATGTATATTATTAAAAAGATGCATCATTCTTCAAAAATACAAATGTAATTTTAGAAAAAGAAGAAGAAAAAAGACTTAAATAAAGTATTATGTACATCACCGGCATTTTAAGAAATGTAAGCATTCTATATAATACTCTATTTTCCGGTTTGCCATTCTATAAAAGCATCGACAATGTTTAATCGTTTTTAAAAGATGCTTAGATATTCTATAGAATACCCTATTTGCCGTTTAACATTCTATATAAAGCGTCTACACTATTGGATCGCTTCTAAAAAATGCTTAGATATTCTATAGAATACCATATTAGCCAGTTCACCGTTTTGCATTCTATAATAAAATCGGCAATGTTGTATTATTTCTAAAATCTGTTTAGGTATTCTAGAGAATACCCCATTTACCAGTTTACAATTTGGCATTCTATAAAAATTGTCGGCAATGTTGGATCGTTTTTAAAAGCTGCTTATGTGTTCTGGAGAATGCGCTATTGACCAGTTTATAATTTGGCATTCTATAAAAATTGTCGGCAATGTTGGATCGTTTCGAAAAACTGCTTATGTGTTCTGGAGAATACGCTATTTACCAGTTTGCAATTTGGCATTCTATAAGAAGCATAGGCAATGTTGGATCGTTTCTAAAAACTGCTTATATGTTCTGGAGAATACGCTATTTACCAGTTTGCAATTTGGCATTCTATAAGAAGCATAGGCAATGTTGGATCGTTTCTAAAAACTGCTTATGTGTTCTGGAGACTGCGCTATTTACCAGTTTGCAATTTGGCATTCTATAAAAAGAGCGTTGGCAGTATTGGATCATTTCTAAAAAATTATTAGGTATTCAATAAAATGAATTTAAGGATGTGTGAAGAAAGGTTGCCTAGATAACCATATTTTATTTCTAAAGTATTGTATGCAGAAAGCTGATAAAATAGAAAGCTTTTTGCAGGTGGAAATCCATGCATAAGGAACAAGTCGCTGAGTACTTGCGTTATGTCTTTATTTAAATTAATCTGTTATACAAATCTTCAAAGTAATTTTTGAACATCCTGTGTTAGGTTATAGCAGAACTAAGGTAATATACAGATTATTATATTCAACATATAATTGTTTATCAACTTATTTTGTTATGTTCTACTTGTTTCGTTGTTTTCAATGCATTAATCATACTAGTACGATTTAGGAGCAACTTATCATCTGAACAGGACGGTTTTCAAGTCATTTAAACTGTATATGAAAACTATTTCTCAACTAGCTTTTAAGCAATACCAAATTTTTCATCTCGTGAGTGAGACTTAAAATAAGACCCCAACAACTGTGTACTTGCACTTCAAGAAGATCACAGATACCCGCACATGTTACCTATGACGTCAGCGCCAGCTGATCGTTTATACGCAAAATGGCGAGTTAAAGTTGAGCTAGGTTTCTCTACATAAGTTGGAATGTTAATTAACGTGAAGTTAAATCAGTATCGCACATCGAATTTGTTGAAATATAAACTTTCTCATCTACGTCCTTAACTTAGATTTAGTATTTCTTTATATATTTTATTGTAACCGTGACATTTTTTTTTTCGTGTAGCTGGCAACTTTGATGCTTAATTAGTTTGTTTATGTTCTACAAGGCTTCGTGACTGTCCTTGTGTTAAATAAGAAATATGTAATAAAAGAATTGAAATCTTTTTGGAAAGAATATAGAATGTGTCATTTAAGAGAAATGATACTTGACGGGTTTGACTGACTCGATACAGAATAGGAAGTTCAGTTGCAAATGTAAACAAATGCGACGTTTCGACAACCAATCAGGATTGAGTTACCCACACTACGACACTTGTGGGTATCTCATTGAGAACTCCACTATTTTACTATTCTGATGCATTAATCTTTATTATTTATTTATTTTATTATATTTATTTTTTTGACAGCAGAAAACCTCAATTTGTACGTGTATCAATCGTAATCGGAACTATTTCAGTAAATTCAGTGATTTAATATCTTTAGAATGAGATTTTTTTTATGTAATTAAAGGTGATGAAACACATCTAAATAATGAGTCATCTAGTAAATGACAGGTATTTAATGTTTGTGCTATTAAACAATTGTTTTGGATTACGCATGGTCTACCTATTTACTTAATCATGCGTACTCAATATTTTTGAGATTCGTACGGTTTAGAGAGCAGATGGTACGAACTAGGCAATCGGTATCCTAAATCGTACCATTTCAATCCCTTGCAAAAATAATTTTCAGTACTCACTGTACAAATATTATTGCTTAAAAAATCATATGAGAAGCTCTAATTAACTGTATTTTATTATTAAAATGGTTCGGATGTAATTGTCAGTGTCATATGACTGATAAAAATGTAAATGTGGAAAGTGATAAGACTTAAGCAATCTTCCTGTACTTTGCCAGTAATATATGCTAGAAATATAATAAACTTAATTTAGTTATATTATTGATGAAAAATCATGATTTATTGCCCTTAAAAATTTAATTTTAAGAAATTTAAATTTTCAGCTGTCGCAAGGCTCAAAATCTGTCCTTAAATTCTTTCATTTCCTTTAAAAA